TTCCCATGCCCCGCCCGCATCCCCGCACCACGGCCCTCTGCGGGAGTTCGGTCTGGTCCCCAGAGGCGGGAGGTGGTTGGGCTGGGCGCACAGGCCTGGGGGCGACTCCCACAGCTCGGCGTGGGGCCCTCTGGCTCCTTTCCCCATGGGAGTCAGGTAGCGCATCCGGCATCCGGGTCCCTGATCCCTTGCCCCTAACCTCTCAGCTCCTGCGAGGCTGGGGTGAGAACACCCTGTGGACTCACTAGCCCTCCAGAGGCACCACCACGAGCGGGTCCCTAAGGGCCAGCCCCGGAAGGAAATGGAAAGGGCAGATCCTGCCCCGCAGCCCACCTGGTCCAGGCGGCCTTGGCGCAGCCTCAGAGAAGAAGCCGCAGGCCCTTTGTCCTACCCCCACCCCCCAGGCCTGGACTGTGCCCTTTGCCCCTCCGGGGCCTGGGTTTCAGTATCCTCACCTGTGGCCCAGGAGTCATCCCCATGCCCACAGGCCATCTACTGAGCCCTGTCTGCCGGGGTCTCTCCGGCCAGGACAGGGAGGGATGTCCAGCGCCTCCCCTCTCTGCAGTTTCTCTCTCGGGGCCCCAGGAGGCGGTGGCCAGCGGCTGTCTTTCCTTCCACCCCCCTGGGCCAGGAGCTTTCCTTAGCAATCCCACCACCGTGGGCCCGGGCTGGTTTGGCTCAGTGGATTGAGTGTGGGCCTGTGGACTGGAGGGTCACAGATTCGATGCCGGTCAAGGGCACATACCTTGATCCCCGGCTCGGGTTGGGGCAGGAGGCAACCAATCATCGTGTCTTTCTCACATCAATGCTTCTCTCTGTGTGTCTCTCCCCCTGCCTTCCACTCTCTAAAAATCAATGAAAATATCCTTGGGTGCGGATTAACAATAACAACAAAAAAGAAAGAAAGAAAGAAACCGCTGGGATTGTGACTGTCAGACCCTGCTGGGCCCCATTGCCGTCCTCAGCCTCGGAAGTGGGGGGCAGACTTGCACTGTGCTCCCCGAATTAGGCCCTGGAGGAGTCCAGGGAAGCAGATTCATGCGGGGACTGGTTCTGAGCAGCATTCTGTGGTCTTGGGTCCTGAGCTGGGGTGGATGGCCAGGGATAGGGGTGCACAGGGGGAATTCCTGCTCTAGAGGGAGTCCTGCCTCGCTCACCTTTAAGGTCTGTGAATCCTCCAAGCCCAATTCACCCTGTGGGGCACGGTGTTTCTTGTGAATCACCCTGTGGGGTACGGTGTTTCTTGCCCCGGCCCTACCCACTGCCTGTGTCCCCTGGGGCTCCCACAACAGCGACCTGTTTAGAACAAAGCCTGTTTCCGGCTGACGGGCCTGTGGGAACATTCCAGGACTGTTGGGTCTCCCTCCCTAGTGTCCAGCGGAGGTAGTTCAGACAACCTTTGGGCTACGAGGCTTCCCCCTCCCCCCTCCACTGCAGACTCTGAAATGCTGTAGGATCGCTGTGCACAGGGACCTGGAGGGGACCCCTGTAACGAGATCACAGGCGGAAGTCTGCCCGACCCACCCATTCGCTGTGCCCACCCACAGCCCTCTCCCTCCGAGTCGTCGTCGTGGTTGGGCTGTGAGTTCGGGTCTGCACCCCTTGGCAAGACCATTTTGCAGATGAATTTGCTGAACTCTCAAAGGCACGTCCACAAGCGCCCCTTAACAAGCTGCCTGGCCTCTTGTGAGAACAGCCCGGCGCGGATGTTTTTTCAGGAACGCACTCTCAGAATGTATTTTTTGTGACGCTCAGGTCCTCTCGGAGTGTTGGTTTCGACATTCTTTTCTCGGCTGACCTTTCCTGTTCTCTCCCCGCCGCCTGTGGCAACATTGATTCGGGGTGATGTGTTTTGAGTTTAAGATGCCGGCCATCCATAAACTTTTCTATCAGTAATCCCGGCACACTCTGTGTACCCGACAGCTTAAAGGAAAATACCAGATTTATGAGGTCTTTCATTTTGGGCCAGTTTAGTCATTTGCTCGCCCTCAGTGTCAGGGGATAAAGGCCCGAGTTGGCCCTGGGAAGACGGCACTCCAAGGGTTCATGTCAGGTCGGCTGCCCCAGCTCAGGGCCGGGTGGCCGAGGCCCTGGATGTGCCCTGGATGGTGGGGATGGCATTGATGGCTGACCACCCCTGAGACGTGAGGGAGGCAAGGGGAAGAGCTCACAGCTCAGGGTCCTGCTGCCCTCCTGGCCCTGCCTTCCATCCGAGGAGGACAGCGGGCTGCTGCCTCGGAATCGCAGGAGACAAGAGAGGGCCTCTGTGTCAGGGCCATCAGGAGGCCGCCTCCCCGCGGGGGCACCCCCAGAACAGGCCGGGTGGCGGGCAGCTTGTGCCTGGCTGGCAGCAGTCAGGGTCTCAGCTGTCAGGCCACAGGGTCTGCCTGTCATTGCTGTTCCGGGTCACCAGGCTGTGTCCCCCGAGCCTGGGGCTGTTTGCTTGTGTGGGAGACGGGATTGATTGGGCCTGGAGACGTCTGCAGAGGGGAGAGATCCAGGCAGAGCTGCTCCACCTCGGACACTTACTCAGCCACCGCGTCCCGAGAACCTGATCATCCGTGCGTCCAGCACACGTCTGTGGGCATGACTCACCACGTGCCTGATGTGGGGACCCGCAGGCACCCGCATTTCAGCCCAGAGGGGCCGGGACCCACCTGCCCAGAGCAACAAAGACCAAGGTTAATCATCATAGACAGTGAAGCTGACACGCAGCATGCACACGCGCAGACGTGCACACAGACACATGCACGGTGCACACATACGCCCGCGACAGATGCGCACGCATGGACGCACGGACAGCACACCTGCCCGTGCACGCGCACACAGACACACATAAGTGCGCAAATGCGGCACATAGAGCACGTGCTCACAGACGCGCATGCGCATGGGCACAGACACAGACGCGCATGCGCGTACCCACAAGCCCCTGGGGCCAGGGGAAGACCTGGCAGAGGAAGCGCGTTTCAAGCCCAAGGCCAAGGCCAGGGGTGAGTGAGGCGGCCTCCCGGAGGGTAGAAGGCGGCGGAGCGTCGTGAGTGACAGCGAGTCAGCGCGGGCGAGGGCACGGGGGTTCCGTGCACAGAGTGGGCTTCACGCCGGTCGTGGGCCCGGAGCCCACGGGGGAAGCTAAGCAAACGCAGAGTGACCCGGGCCTGGCGGGACCTCAGGGAGGTGGGTCCCAGCGGGGAGACTTCCCCACGGGCGGCCTGTGAGCTCAGCCCTGGACTGACTGGGGGGCGGGGGACGCCGGCATCCAGGTGAGCCGAGCCTGCGCCCTGTGGGGGCCCGGGAGGCGGGACTTGGCTGAGTTGAGGGGCAGGAAAGGCGGCCTCAGAGTGAAGGTGACCGGGAGGAGGTCTGGCCCCGATGGCAGCCCGGGTAGGGGCGGGAGCGGGACCTGGGGGCCGAGGGGGGCGGGGCTGGGGGGAGGCAGTGTTGCCACAGACCCTCCTGGGTTGGGCCCAGCTCCCAGGTGAGGCCTTTGCAGAATCCTCCCCTCCCGCCTTTCTCTCCTCCCCACGCGGGCCCTGACTCTCAGCCGCACGATGGGCACGAGGAAGGGCTGAGGGTTCCAGGGGCCGAGTGCCTCGCCCCGCCCTCCCTGGTTCCCCGACCTGCCCGAGGGGCCTCCGACTGCTGGGTTGGGTTGGGAAAGCCCCGAGCCTCAGTTTCTCCAACTGCAACGAGAGATTTTAATTCCTGCCCTGCTCCCCCCTTTGTCCCCACGTCCCATGGAGATGCTCAGAAGACACTGGGTCAGGGCTGGCAAACGTAGCCGGTGGGCAGACGCCAGCCCCCAGGAGCCTGCAGGCCCTGCCTTGCCCCCCCTCCCCCCGCCCCCCGTCTGCGGCTCCGTGGCAGCAAAGCTAAGGGGACCACGGTGGTGTCCGGGGCTCTGGTTCCCACCCTGGTCTTGCCTTGGCCTCTGGTAGCCTCGGTTTTCCCATCTGTAAACAGGGTACCTGCTGTGCCCACAAAGAGGGTGAATGGGAGGCTTGCTTGTTTTGTGTGTTTTTATACGTTTTTATTGATTTTTAGAGAGAGAAACACCAATGAGAGAGAAACATCAACATCAATCGGCTGCCTCCCGTACGCCCCTTGCTGGGGATCGAGCCCCCAACCCGGGCATGTGCCCTGACTGGGGATCGAACCGGTGACCTCCTGGTGCATAGGTCAGTGCTCAAGCCCTGAGCCACGCCAGCTGGGCGGGAGGCCTGGATTTGAGATCACCTGTGGCCTAGCAGGGGCCACGCGCTAAAGCCTGAGCCTTCCGGCCTTGCTGTGTTGAGGATGCAGGCGGGGTCTTCAGGGTGGAGTCTGGCCGGCGTCCTTGAAGCTGAGCGCTCGGGGGGCCGGTGTTATTGGCGGGCGGTGACCTGTGGCGCTGAGTGTCCCCTAATGGATTTTCTCACCGCCTCTGTGCGTGCTATTTATTTAGTCATTTGCCCGAGTAAATCTTACAGGCCCGCGGAGAGTTTATTTTTTAATTTTTAATATTCCCAGTACACTCAGGGGTTTATTTCCCACTAGATCTATTCGTTTAATTTAGTGGAGGACAGACTTTGTACTTAACCCAGAATTGCTTTGACATTATGGAGAATTAAGAGGCTGAGCCAGACGGATCGGAGCGGATCGATCTGTGTGAGAGAAGCCTCTGTCGTTTCCCCGCCTGCTGTCTTCACCTTCATGGTGAGGACGGAGATTGGAATACGGGCTGGCTAAGCCCAACCCGTGTGGCTCAGCGGGTGAGCGTCGACCTATGAACCAGAAGGTCACGGGTTCGATTCCCGGTCAGGACACATGCCTGGGTTGCGGGCTCCATCCCCAGTAGGAGGCGTGCAGGAGGCAGCTAGCTGATCAGTGGTTCTCATCATTGATGTTTCTATCTCTCCCTTCCTCTCTGAAATTAATAAAATGTATTTTTTTAAAAAGAAAGAAAATGGGCTGGCTGAGAACGACAGAGCATGGCCGGAGGGTCAGGGTTCTCGCTCCCGTGTTCCCCTGGGACCCCGGAGAGGTCTCTCCTCGATGAGATGGCGGTGGAGGTCCCAGGGCAGGTGCTGTGGGGGCAGAGGTGTCTGTAAGCAGCCGGCCAGCCTCTGAAGTGTTGCCTCCTGGGCCAGGGCACCAGGATGGGTGCAGAGCGCTGGGCCCTGGCGCTG